AATTATAAGAGAAACAAAGCACCAAAAAATTCTTCCCTAGTGTCACAAAGAAAATGCTCCTATTTGAATTACTGTGGTGGTACAATTAGTTGAGACAATTACATTGCATATGACTAGTTTATGTGCCTTGTTACCCCATTAATATTTTCATCTATTGTTCCTTAAAAGACATTCATCACAATAAGAAAGATTTAAACCAATGGACATGGACAACAAAGCTAGGGACGGGGTGGGGGTGATGGGGAGAAGGGTGTCAATGGGGTAAAAAAGGAGAAACGTGTGTAACAAAATAAAATTTAAAAAAAGAGAAAGATTTAAAATAGTGGAAAGAAGTGAAGACTCTGAAAACAGCCTGATAATTCTCAAAATTTATCACTGGGTTAAGTAAAAGATGTTAGTTAAGTAAGTTAACTTTTTTAAACTAAGAAGTTTATTTAACAAGTGGACTGAACTTAAGAGCGGTAGAAAGTTCATTCACTCTTTTTTTTTTTTTTAATCCTCACCCAAGGATATTTTTCCATTTATCATCAGATAGAGTGGGAGGGAGAGAGAGAAACATCAATGTGAGAGGCACGTTGGGCACCTTGGGCACGTTAATTTTTTTTATATAGAGGCATACCTTGTTTTATTACACTTTGCATTATTGTGCTTCACAGATACTGCTTTTTAAAAATTGAAGGTTTGTGGCAACACTCTACCAAGCAAGTCTATCAGCCCCAATTTTTCCAACAGCATTTGCTCACTTTGTATCTCTGTGTCACATTTTAGTAATTTTACAATATTTCAAACTTTCATTATTGTGATGGTGATATGTGATCAGTAATTTTTAATGTTATTATTGTAATTATTTTGTGGTGAAAATAAGATAAAAAACTTAATAAATGTTGTGGATATTCTAACTGTTCCACCAACCAACTGTTCCCCCATTCTCTCTCCCTCTCCTCAGACCTCCCTATACCCTAAGACACAATTTAAAATTAGGTTAATTAATAACCCTACAATGGCCTCTAACTATTCAAGTGAAAAAGTCACACTTTAAATGCTAGAAATGATGAAACTTAGTGAGAAAGGCATGTCAAAAGTCAAGGTAGGTCAAAAGCTACACCTCTTGTACCAGTTAGCCAAGCTGTGCAAGCAAAGGAAAAGTTCTTGAAAAGCACTGCTCCAGTGAACACACAAATATTAAGAAAGGAAAACAGCCCTATTGCTAATATAAACTTTCTATATAGATCAAACCAGCCACAACGTTCCCTTAAGCCAAAGCCTAATTCAGAGCAAGGCCCTAACTCTCCTTCATTCTATGAAGACTGAGAAAGGTAAGGAGGCTGCAGAAGAAAAGTCTGAAGCTAGCAGAGGTTGGTTCATGAGGTTTAAGAAAAGAAACCATATCCATAAAATGAAAATGCCAAGTGAAGCAGCAAGTGCTGATGTAGAGGCTGCTACAAGTTATCCTCCAGAAGATCTAAGAGACTTAATGAAGGAGATTACAATAAACAACAGATCAGATTTCCAATATAGGTGAAATAGCCTACTGTTGGAAGAATATGCCATCTAGGACTTTCATAGCTAGAGAGAAGAAGTCAATGCCTGGCTTCAAAGCTTCCAAGGACAGGCTGACCCTCTTGTTAGGGTCTAATACACCTGGTGACTTTAAGTTAAAACCAATGCTCATTTGCCATTCTGAAAATCTTAGGTCCCTTAAGAATTATACTAAATTTCAGCTACATGCAAAGAAATGAAGCTAGACCAACAACGTACCCCATACACAAGAATAAACTCAAAATGGACAAAAGACTTAAATGTGACTCATGAATCCATAAAAATCCTAGAAGAAAATGTAGACAACAAAATTTCAAACATCACACGCAGCAGAATTTTCACTGATACAACGCCTAAGGCAAGAGAAACAAAGGAAAAAATTAATACATGGGACTATATCAAACTAAAAATCTTCAGCACAGCAAAAGAAACAACCATCAAAATGGAAAGAGAACCCACTATATGGAAGAGCATAATTGCCAATGACACATCAGATAAGGGGTAATTTCCAAAATATATAGAGTACTCATACAACTCAACAAAAGGAAGGCAAAGAACTCAATTTAAAAATGGGCAGAGGACCTAAATAGACAACTCTCCAAACAGGACATACAAATGATCAAGAGATATAAAAAAATGCTCAACGTCACTAATCATCAGAGAGATCAAATCAAAACAACTATGAGGTATCACCTCACACCTGCCAGAATGGCTGCTGTCAACAAATCATTAAACAAGTGCTGGCGAGGGTGTGGAGAAAAGGGGACTCTAGTACACTACTGGTGGGAATGCAGACTGGTGCAGCCACTATGAAGAACAATATGGTGTTTCCTCAAAAAATTAAAAATTGATCTGTCATTTGACCCAGTAATCCCATTTCTAGTAATATAACCTAAGAAACCTGAATCACCAATCAGAAAGAATATATGTACCCCTGTGTTCACAGTAGCACTATTTACAATTGCTAACATCTGGAAACAGCCCAAGTGTCTATCGATAAAAAAGCTGTGATACATATACACAATGAAAATCTATGCAGCTGTAAGAAAGAAAGATCTCTTATCCATAGAGATGACATGGAGGGTCCTAGAGAGTATAATGCTAAGCGAAATAAGCCAATCAGAGAAAGGCAAATATCACATGATCTCACTTATTTGTGGAATATAATGAACAATACAAGCTGATGAACAAAAAGACCCAGAGACATGGAAGTGGAGTACAGACTGACAAACCTCAGAGGAGGGGGGCAGGGAGGAAGAAAGAGATAAACCACAGAACTTATATGCAACCAATGGACATAGACAACAATGCTGGGGGAGGGGCAGGATTGGGAGGAGGGTGTCAAGGGGGAAAAAGGAGAAACATCTGTAACAAAAAAATTGCTAAGAAAAAAAAAGAATTATACTAGATCCACTGTGTTCTATAAATAAAACAAAGCCTGAATGATAGCACATCTGTTGACAGCATGGTTTACTGAATATTTTAAATATTTAAGAACTACTGTTCAGAAAAGATTCAAAAAATTACTCATTGACAATGCACCAATCACCCAAGAGCTCTAACAGAGATGTACTACGAGATTAATGTTGTGTTCATACCTGCTAACACAACATCTAGTCTACAGAAGTAATTTCGACTTTCAAGTCTTATTATTTTAAAAACACATTTCCTAAGGCTTTACTGCCATAGATAGTAATTCCTCTGGGCAAAATAAATTTTAAAACTTCTAGAAAGATTCACCATTCTAGATGCCTTTTAGGACATTCATAAGTCACCGGAGGAGGAGGTCAAAATATCAACATTAAGAGGCATTTAGAAGTTGATTCCAACCCTCGTGGATAACTTTAAAAAGTTCAGGATTTCAATGGAACAAGTAACTACAGATGTGGTGAAAATAGCAGGACAACTAGAATTAGAAGTAGAGCCAGAAGATGTGACTGAATTGCTGCAAGTTCATGATAAAATTTGAACCAATGAGGAGTTGCTTCTTATGGAAGAGCAAAGAGTTTTTTCTTGAGATGGAATGTATTCCTGATGAATATGCTGTGAATCTATTGAAATAACAACAAAGGATTTAGAATATTACATAAACTTAGTTAATAAAGCAGCATCAGGGTTTGAGAAGATTGAATCCAATTCTGAATGAAGTTCTACTGTGGGTAAAGTGCTATCAAACAGCATTGTATTCTACAGAGAAATCACTGGTGAAGGGAACAGTCAATCAATGCAACAAAATGCAATGTCTCATTTTTAGAAATTGCCACAGCCACCTAACCTTGAAAAACCACCACCCTGACCAGTCACCACACCCTCCACCAGCAAAAAGTTTAAGACTCACTGAAGACTCAGATGATGATTAATAATTTTAGCAATAAAGAATTTTTTTTTATCCTCACTTGAGGACATTTTTGCATTTATCTTCATAAAGAGTGGGAGGGAGAGAGGGAGGAAGAGAGAGAGAGAAACATCGATGTGAGAAAGACACATCAACTGGTTGCCACCTATACGAACAGGGGCCGAGGAGAAACTGCAACCGAGGTATGTGCCCTTAGTGGAAACCGAAGCCAGGACTCTCTGGTCTGTGGACCGTCGCTCTAATCGTTGAGCCAAACCAGCCAGGGCGCAATAAAGAGTTTTTTAATTAAAGTCTGTACATTGTTTTATAGACATGCTATTGCACACTTAAGAGACTATAGTATAGTGTAAACATAACTTTTATATGCACTGGGAAACCAAAAACTTGTGTGTCCTGACTTACTGCAAAAATCACTTTACTGTGCTGGTCTGGAACCAAACCTGCAATACTGTATCTCCAAGTTACGTCTATACACAGCATTACTGAAATTTCCTTCCCTTGCCCCCATGCTCTATAATGTGTGAACTATATTGAGGACAAAGAATTACAAGTAGGTACCTAACTTCTCAGTACTAAAATAAAATGCAGAAAAAGCTTCAAAATAGCCCTGGCCAGTTTGGCTCAGCGGTTAGAGCGTCGGCCTGCGGTCCAGAGAGACACGGGTTTGGTTCCCGCTAAGGGCACGTACTTCGGTTGCAGTTTGTCCCCAGCCCTGGTTGGTCGTGCGGGTGGCAGCCACTCGATGTGTCCCTTCACATCGATGTTTCTCTCTCTCTCTCCCTTCCTCTCTCTCCCTCCCACTCTATCTGTACAAAAAATGGAAAAATGTCCTCGGGTGAGGATAAAAAAAAAAAAAAGCTTCAAAATACTCAGATAAATGACTAAAGCATCTGTATGTAAACTAAAAATCTACCACATATCTGTGTATTACAAAGCACTATAACCAATCTTGACTGAAACTTGAGGAAAAAAAACACATGTTGCTTCAAATTACAATTCCAATCCATAGAAATACTCAGGTTTTAGAAAAATATTTAAAAAGTTAAGTTTTGTTTTAAAAATGGAGGTAGAAAATGGAAATAGCAATTAGAAAAAGTAAACTTACCAAATATATTAGTAGAGTGTCCTTTTCTTGCAATAGGTCTGAGTTCATTATGTCCCCATCCATATATCTTATAATTATCCCAGGCATGTTTCATCATCTGAGAAAAGAAAAATTATAACCCATCAATTTACATTAGTCACACTGTTATCTTTGTATTTCATGTAATTTAGAGATTCTTTCACTATATCCTTACACATGCTCCCATATCTTCTACAGTAATATGTTATTCTATTAACATTTGTATCAGTGTGAAACATAATAATGTTTAATCTCAGGGTCTACACAACACAGAAAATTTGGGTGTAATAGACAAATTATTTTTATTAAGAAGGAAGGTGTCTGTTTGGCATTCTTTCCTTTTAGGAACTGCCAATCCTTTTGGAAACTGCTCCCTTCCTTCACTATGATTATTATAGAGCTGTCAATGAAGAGGCTCTGATTCCACAACCAAATAACAGAGCCTGGCTAGAGAACCCTTTACCCTTAGACCAAAGATTAGCAAATTCTTTCTTAGAGTATTTTAGATTTGCAGTCCGTACAGTTTCTATACCAACTACTTAATTCTGCTGTTGTGGCACAAAAGCAGCCTTAGACAATACATAAACAAATGGGCATGCCTGTTCCAGTTAAATCTTATTTTTTAAAAATAAAGGCAGAGTTTGGCCCACAGGTTCTAGTTTGCCAGCCCCTAACCTAGACAAAGTGACTGTATATATGTGATTTAAGTAGGGGCAATCAAGCCCTTTTACACGTATTTACAGACAGTAGAAGACAAAAGGACTCTCGCACTTTTTCAGTCTTAGGGTCTAAGTAATACATAATCTGGAGCTAATGGGGGCTAATTCTCTCCCAACATTGAGAAACCAAATAAAGAAAGAGAAAGAGACAGATGCATATTATTGACAATAACATCTACAGACTTGGATTCAGCAAAGCTTAAAGCCCTCAGAGCCATAAAGCTAATAAATATTTTTGTATCACCAAGTTTGAACTGAGTTTCTTACAACTCAAGGAGTCTAATCAATACAATAACTAAGTATTTAATTATATATATCAGTTTAATTAGTTAATAATAGACTGTAGTATATTAAATATTTGTTCATTTAACAGCACACTATTCATTAAAACATTTCTCAACTTGTTTTTTGCAACCAGCTTTACTCAGAAAGGAAACAACAAACCAATATAAAACACAAGACATTAAAAGGAAACTACAAACCAATATAAAACACAAATGCAAAACTACTGAACAAAAATTAGCAACATATGAGGACACAATGACCAAATACAGTTTAATCCAGGAATATAAGACTAATTTAACATTCAAAAACCAATCAGGCCCTGGCCAGTTTGGCTCAGCGGTTAGAGCGTCGGCCTGCAGTCCGGAGAGACCCGGGTTCGGTTCCCCCTAAGGGCACGTACTTCGGTTGCAGTTTGTCAGTTTGTCCCCGACCCTGGTTGGTCGTGCGGGTGGCAGCCACTCAATGTGTCCCTTCACGTCGATGTTTCTCTCTCTCTCTCTTCCTCTCTCTCCCTCCCACTCTATCTGTACAAAAAATGGAAAATGTCCTCGGGTGAGGATAAAAAAAAAACAAAAAAAACAATCAGTATAATTTACCATATTAACAGAATAAACAGAAAAACTATCATCCAATCATTTTTATAGATGTAGACAAAGCATCTGACAAAATTCTGATAAAAATTCGATAAAAACAGTCAGTGAACTACAACTACAAGGAAACATCCTCAACCTAATAAAGTGCATCTTCAAAAAAACCTACTTCTAACAACATATTTAATGGTAAAAGACTAAATGCTTAACTCCTAAAACTGAGAACAAATCAAGCATGTCCATTCTCACTACTTTTCAACAATGTACTGGAAGTCCTAGAGAGTGCAGTAAGAGAAAAGAATTAAAGACACAAAAATCAAAAAGGAAAAATGTAGCCCTGACTGGTTTTGCTCAGCGGTTAGAGCTTAGGCCTCAGACAGAAGGGTCGTGGGTTTGATTCCTGATCAAGGGCAGATACCTGAGGTGCAGGTTCAATCCCAGCCCTGGTTGGGGTTGTGCAGGAGGCAACCAACTGATGTGTCTCTCTCACATCAATGGTTTTTCTCTCTTTCTCTCCCCCCTCCCTCCCTTCCACTCTATCTAAAAATCAATGGAAAAATATGGGTGAGGATTAACAAAAAAAAAGGTAAGTTTCTCTAGTCACAGAGGACATGTACAAGGAAAATTCTAAGCAAGCTAAAAAAACCACTAGAACTAATAAATGACTTCAGTAAAATAATATAAGTTTAGCAAACTAAAATCAAATATATTTCCAAATGCTAGTACTGAACAACAGAAAATTTTAAAACAATTTCATTTATAATAGCATCAAAAAACATGACACACTTAGAAATAAATATAACAGAATATGCACAAGAACTATACACTGAGAACTACAAAACATTGCTGACAGAAATTAAAGAAAACCTAAAAAAGTGGAAAATATAACATGCTCATGAAATGGAAGACTGATAATATGACAATATTTCCAAAATCATCTACAGATTCAATAAAAACCCAATCAAAATCCAGGAACCTTTTATTTTCACAGAAAAATTAATTCTAGAAAGGCAAAGGACCTAGAGTGGCCAAAACAATTTATACAAAGAACAAAATTGAAGACTTATCTGATTAAATTTTTTTACATTTCTAAAATGTTTTTATTGTTTTTTTGTGTGTGTTTTTAGAGAGGAAGGGAATGATAGAAACATCGATGTGTGAGAGAAATATCAATTAGCTGTCTCCTGCACGCCCCCTACTGGGGGTTGAACCCCACAACCGAGCTATATGCTCTCACTGGGAACTGAACCAGGACATCTCAGTCCATGGGACAATGCTCAATCCACTGAGCCACACCAGCTGGGCGGACTTATCTGATTTTATTTTTTTAATCTTCACTGGAGGACATTTTTCCATTTTTGTTCAGATAGAGTGGGAGGGAGGTAGGGGGGAAAGAGAGAGAGAGAGAGAGAGAGAGAGAAACATCGACCTGAAAGGGACACATCAAGTGGCTGCTTCCCACACGACCCCAACCAGGACCAGAGACCAATCACAACCGAGGTACATGCCCTTGACCGGAATGGAACCTGTGACTCATTGGTCTGCGGGCCAACACTCTAACCGCTGAGCCAAACCGGCCAGGGCTGGACTTATTTGATTTTAAAACTTACTATAAATTAATCAGCACAGTGTCATGTTAGCATTAAGGATAAGCATGTAGATTAATGGAATAGATAGGAGTCCAGAAAAACACTCAACACCTACTGATTTTGTCAACTGATTTTGAACAAAAGTACCAAGATGATTCAGGCAGTAAAGAATAATCCTTTCAACAACTGGAACAACTAGAAAGCCTTATGTGAAAAAAAATAAAGCAAGACCTTTATTTTCACAATAAAAAAAATTAACTCGCCCAGCCGGTGTGGCTCAGTGATTGAGTGTCAACCCATGCACCAAGAGGTCGCTGGTTCAATTCCTGGTCAGGGCACATGCCCAGGTTGCAGGCTCAATCCCCAGGGTGGGCATGCAGGAGGCAGCCAATCGATGTTCTCTCTTATCAATGTTTCTATCTCTCTCTCCTTCTCCCTTCCTCTCTCTAAAATCAATAAAGAAAAAAATATTCAAAATAAATAAATAAAAATTAAAAAAATTAACTCGCAGATCAGAGTCTAGAATGTCAAAACTAAAACTAAAATGTGACCACACAAAAACTTGCACAACAATGTTCACAGCAACCTTATTCAGAACAGCCAAAAATTGGAACAAATGTTAAGCAAATGTTCAACAGGTGAATGAATAGAACAAATCATGGTATGTCCATAAAATGGAATACTAAGAAAAAAAATTACCTTTATGTGCATCTGCACAGATAAATCTTAAAAACATGCTGAGCAAAAGCCCAGCAACAAAAGATCACAGACTTTATTATTCCATATGACTGAAACTCTAGAAAAGACAAATTAATCTATAATGATTAAAAGCGGATCAGTGGTTGCCTGGGACCAAGGAATCAGGTGGACTGATGAGGGAGGGGCACAAGACAACCATTTTAAGATTATGGACATAGTCACATCTTAATTATAGTTGCTATTACAAAGGTAGTATACATCTGTCAAAACCCATCAAGTTGTACTCTTAAAATAGAAAAGGATACATGTAGATGTAGACAAAGCATCTGACAAAATTCATTTTGTTGTATATAAATGGTTTCAATAAAGTTAAAATTTTTAAAATCTAATAACCTTCCATACCTTCTCAACTTGTAATTTTCCCTCTCCTGAGGCAAATACTTAAACTTTTACCTGTTGTTTCTATTTACCACTATATTTTTAAATATAAGTTATGGTGCTATTCCTTGACTTTATTAAGCTTTAGACATTTACTATTTTATCCTATAGTTAAGATAATTAAGTTCTCTTCTGCCTCTCTACTTTCTGCACATATACTTCTTCACATATATTTCCCTGACCCACATTCTCCTTTAATTTCTAATAATTTTACCTTACTATTTCAACTTTTGTTTTCGCTATTAGCTACTGGTCTGAGGGTTTGGTGGGGGCTTTTTGTTTGCTTAGTTTTCAATGTAAGAATTATAAATTTACTCTTAAAATGTGTATTTTACAGCTTGTCTCAATATAATTAAACACATCATATAAACTATCAGTTCCACTTTATTCATCCTTCCCGAAGCTCTATCTTCCTACTCTAATCTGGACTTCTGTTCTCTCCACCTGAAGCATAGCCACCATCCTGCTGATTTTCCCTTATTCACAGTCCTAGACATGCCCTTCTTTATTCTCTCTAGTGACAGATAAGCTGTCTCCAAAACCCTTCTCTTCCTATTTTTGTGCTGAAGTATATTTTACAGTAGCAATCTGAGAAAATGCTAAAAATACCTTTACCCTCAGATTTGACTCATAATTTGACTGAACATAAAATTCTTTCTAGTTTCCAATATTATTGTTGGGAATCTGATATGCCATTATGTACAACCCCGATCTTTTGAGTGGAACTTCTTTTCTCTATAATCTTTTAGGATCTGTTTTTATGCCTATTTTTCTAAAATTTCAGGACTGCTTTTTTTCTTTCTCATTGTGATGAATGCCTGGCAGGTCCTTTCAATCTGGCAACTCACTTCCTTTAGATTTTGCGAATTTTCTTGAACTGTTTCTTTGACTTCTTCCCCTTCATAACCTTGACTTCTTCCTACAATAACTAGTTTGTCAGATGTTTCAGATTGATCTTATCATTTTTTTAATTTTCTCAATCTTTCTGTCCTTCTGAGAGTTGCTTAATTTTAACTTCCAAGTCTTCTACTAAATTTTTAAATTCTATAATATTTTTAATTTCCAAGAGTTCTTTCTTACTTTATAAAATGTACCTTTTATAACTTACTGTTCTCATTTGAACTCAACATTTTGTCACTCCAATGATGTTCATTTTTTTATATATTTCTTCTGCTCCCTGTACTGTTCCTGTATCCTCTGAATTCCTTTCTTCCATCTGTTTTGTTCTCTCAAGTGGGAAAATTTCAATAAATGTCTGGTGATATTTGGTCTGCTCTCTATTTAAAAGTGAAGCACTTACAAGACAAAGGCTGTCAGTGAATGAGTAAGACTAGTTGACTGATCTTCATCTTAGATCAGGTGAAGGTCAGGGGTATCTGAGGAACAGTGTAGGTCTTTCCTACTGGACCAGTCTCCCCAGAGAGAAGTCCTCTATTCTCCAGCTTATTGAATATAAACCTGTTTCCAGAATTCTGAGAACTGAGCAGGAGAAAGTGATCTCAATATTCAGATTCATTTTGCTCTTAATTCCTTCTACCCCACCACTCTATTAATTTTTTAGAATGACCTCTGTGCTTTTCACTCAGCCACACATGGTATTCCCAAAATCCAGATTTTCTCTAATTCATTCCTCCAAAAGGTTAACTTTGGTCGTCCATTGGGAAAAGTAGGACTGTAGCTAGAGTGCATAGTTTAGGGAATTAGGGATTTAGGGGTTAAGAGCTCCTTTTAAAACTTTCTAATAATCCTTTTCCACCTCTATTTTTAACCCCTGCCTTCAGAGGTAAATGGTGTCTAATTCTTTCTTTATTCCTCACCCGAGGATATTTTTCTATTTATCATAAGATCGAGTGGGAGGGAGGGAGGGGGAAGAGAGAGAAACATTGAGGTGCTAGAGCCACATTGACTGGCTGCCTCCCCCACGACCCAGCCAGGGCTGGGGACAAACTAAAACTGAGGTACATGCCCTTGACAGGAACAGAACCCATGGTCCACAGGCCAATGCTCCAACCACTGAGCCAAACCGGCCAGGGCAGGTGTCATTCTTGAAGTGGTCTCTCATTCTTGACACTTTCAGGTATTCTGCAGTTCACATCACCTTGTCTCTTGTTAGCTCCTTCCCCTGCAAGCTTACGTATCAACTTTCTTTGCTTGCTAAGTCAGTAACCATAATACTCAATAGGAACCTACACAGAAGTTGTTAATGTTTTATGCTGATTTACAAAAACACTGGATAATATGATATGTTCTAAAGGATTAATTCAGCAGGTCTGGGTTGTCCAAACCCTGCACATCTCAAAAAAGGTTTGGCCAGTGCTGGGCTGCTCCTGGAAAATAACCTCTAACCCTTTATTACCTTGCCTATGAAGAGTATCTTTGTTTACCTGGAGCCTTGGGATGTGTCAGACAGTTTATGCTAACAATGTGATTTATGGTAGGGGCCTTGGGCCACATGGTATCAGCCTAACCTCTGGAGGAGTTGGAGAACTAAGCTCAGCCAAGCCTATATAACAAATCTCCAATAAAAACCCTGGACACCAAGGCTCAGGTAAGCCTCCCTGATTGGCAACACTTCACGCACACTGCCACACATCATGGCTGGGAGAATTAGGCACTGTCCGTATCACTCCACTGAGAGGACAACTAGAAGCTTGCACCTGGTCTTTCCTGGACTCTGTCCTACGTGCCTTTTTTATTACTAATTTTAGTTTTGCTATATAAACTGAAACCACAAATACTATGAATACTTCTGGTAAATCACTGAGCCTTTGGGTGGACTTGGGGGTCCCCTAAACACACAGTTATCTATCTGGAATATTATGTACATGAGAAAGTATTTCAATAAATTCTAATGACATCTAAAGAAAGCAGCGGGCCCTGGCCGGTTTCATCAGCAGTTAGAGCGTTGGCCCTCGGACCAATGAATCACGGGTTTGATTCCAGCCAAGGGCATGTACCTCAGCTGCGGTTTGTCCCCAGCCCTGGTCAGGATCGTGAGGGAGAAAACTTGTCAATGTGTCCCTCTCACATCAATGTTTCTCTCTCTCTCTTTCTTCTTCCCTGCCACTCTATCTGAAGATAAACAGAAAAATATCCTCTAGTGAGTATTAATAAAAAATAGAAAGAAAGAAATAAAGCAGCTGGTCAATGGGGGAAAAAGGAGGGGGAACATCTGCTATACTGTCAACAATAAAGATTTTTTAAAAAAAGCAGGTCAGGCATATGAAAAAAACCTATCAATGCCTCCCCAACACTATCCAAAGAAAGTGCCCTAAGTAGTCTGTGCATAAAACAAGACATCAGGGTTGAGGTAAAATCAGAGTATAGTTCTATGTTTATTCCATCAAGGCCAAGGTCTTATAATAATTCATAAAGTCAAGCTTAAAGTACCTGCTAAATCTTTCATATTCATTACTAGAATATATCCATATAGATATCTGACTATTTGAACTAAATTTATTATCTTATTTTATGATAAACAATACCTTTGAAATATTGTTGATGCTATTACACCCAGACAAAATTTTCTACATAGGCAGTATAACTGCAAACTCCACAGGGAATTTTAGCTGGAGTTCTAATTAACAAAGTTCAACTGAAATATTCATTGGATCCCCCTCTCCCCACTCTGATATCCTCTTTATTTCCAAGTCATTCCTAAAATAACAAACTAAAAGAATTCTATGACTAAACAAATATAGTAATTTTGAGATCAACCCCTCCCCATTCTTTAATCCATTAAGACTCTGGAAGGAATGTGTTCTTAATTTGCTGTATAGCTACCCAGTTTCATGGAACACTCCTTAAAAGATGGCAGGTATAATGCTAACTCTTCAGAAGCATGTTTATGAGGAGATATGCATAGTATCTAGTAGAGTCCCTTATAACTTAACATTTAAGAAATTTCTTACTCAATTATTTATAAATCTATTCTACATTATTTATAAAATGCTGAATATCAAAAGATCTCTGAACACAGGGTTGAGTGTTGTAACCATCCAAACATTTTATCAAAATTTTAAGTGTCCAGTAATTATATCATAATCCATATCAAGAAAGGGAGTTCTAGCCCCTACTGCGAACTTGGAAAATGAACTGCAACTATGACCCAAAAACAAACAAGATCAAAGTACAACAACATATATGGGGGGGGGTGTCTCCAGTCAAATATATATCTATAACCACTAGTATGATAAATCTCAACATATTATATTACCTCTTTAATTTTTTCCCTTTTCTTTCTTATGTCATTATCTTCTGGGTCTCCACCATTTATTCCTAAAAGATTTGGTACAGGGACTGGTGGCAGTGGTTTTTTCTCTTTCATCTTCATTTCTTGGACTACTTTACTCTTCTCTGTCTGAATTTCTGCTCGAATTTCCTCTCTTGACTTTTTTAATTTTTCTTTTGCTTCTTCCAAGGCCTTCTCATGATCAGCTCGAATTTTATTTCTTAAACGTTCCTCTTCTTCTCTGTAAGAAGAGGAGGAAAAACGACTAGTTAGAATGATCCTTAAGAACTTCAAACTTTAAACACAAAACTTAAAGTTTCCTCCACCAAACCCAGAGCATTGTTTCCTACTCCTGCCACAAAAGGTAGGAATCATCTGTGAAAGACTCAAATCTATCTGCCCAAAATCAGGATAAATACAACTTGGTATGAATGAGCCCAGGATGCCAAAGAGCTAACACTTTACACAATGGAGGAAGAGGGAGCCTAGAAAGAAAGTTACAATTTCAGCCCTGGCCAGTTTGGCTCAGCTGTTAGAGTGGCCCTCGGACTGAAGGGTGGAGGATTTGATTCCCAGTCAAGGCACATACCTGGGTTACAGGTTCGATCCCCAGCCCCTATTGGAGCTGTGCGGGAGGCAACCAATATGTGTTTCGCTCACATCAATGTTTCTCTTTCTTTCTCTCTCTGTCTCTCTCTCTCTCTCCTCCTTCCCTTCCCTCCCTCCCTTCCACTCTATCTAAAATTCAATAGAAAAAAAAAAAATCCTTGGGTGAGAATTAACAACCACCACCAAAAAAAGCTACAATTTTGGGGCCAATGAGAATAGAGAAAACAGCAATCAGTAACTTATCAGTAGACTTGTGAAAAAAAAAAAAAGAGGTAGGGGAAGAGGGAGAAAGGACAGAAGGGAGACACACTAGCGAAAAACTAGGTAAGAGAGAATTAAAAATAGATAAGAACTAAGTATCAAGATGGGCAAAAATATAAACAGTCAAGGAAAGAGACAGACTGAAATTCTTCATTTGTTATATACTCTTCTAAAATTTTTGCATTTTGGAAATACCATAAAGCTTATAACACAACAATTCCCAACTGATGCAGGCATGACTACTTAAAACTCTCTTGAACCCTTGTTAAAAATATACATTTCAAATCAGCAGGTCTGTGTGACACCCATGAATCTGTATTATTAAGAGCTCCCCTGATGACTCTGGTGTACACAAACATTTGGAAACCACTACTGCAGTGGACACTGGGTTTTCTACTCACACCTACTTTGTCAGAACTCAGTCTTCTCTCCATCTCCACACCAATCCACATGAATGAATACAAGAGTGGAAGTTACTATTTTCCAAATCAGCCAATGATGGCTATTCCAAGAGTGAATCTCAAACCCAACAGTCACTAGAGTCACCTTACAAATACCCTTGTGGTCCTTGAAAAGTATAGGCAAATGACAACAAAACTAGTAATTGTTGTGGCTTAGATGTGTGAGGCACTGGCTTAGTCAATTACTTAAATTATCTTATTTAATCCTCACACTTATTTATGAAGTACCCTCTATTAAACACTGTTTTTCATCTTATTATTAAACAAGTAAGGCATAAAGCGAAAAAAGTAATTTGTTCAGGGTCACAGAGCTATTAAGTAGAGAACCTAGATATAAACACATGCATTTTGACTTCTTAAACACTATGTAAACATTATGCCTTTCACGTAAGGAATGCTTTTATTAAAGGGGTTGTCTCTTATGGTACATATACTAACACCTGTCTCTCAATCTCTTTTCTCCTTTCTTCCTTAGTCCTAGAGCCCTCAATTTTTTGATAAGCACATGATCCTGGCTAAATAAAAAGTCTATTTCTCAGACTCCCTTATTGAAACTGCTTCCACAGAATTCATGTTATGAGAAACAAACTTCTATCTTGCTTAAGCCACTGTTACTTTGTGATTTTTACGGCTGGTAAATAACCTAACCATAAATGAGCCACTCTCCATCCTAGATGTTCTCTTTCCCTGGGGCTCTCATTAGTATCTGAGGGTTGATTTGCCAGAAATAAATTAACCAAAGGATAGATTTCCTTCTCCAATTAGAGTATTTAAATAAATCATGTTTGGAAACATTGTGAAGGACAAATACAATCCTCGATTACATAAGGATACATAAAATTACACTGGAATCTTGTATGGCAAAAATTTAGGTGAATATACAAATATTTCCCCTTTATATTCACTCTCTCCTTCTCTAGATCTTTATTCTTTACCTTAGATCTTTACTCTTTACCTACAAACACTAAGTCTCATCCATACTTAAAAAGTACATTAAAACTTCCCTCAAAATTCCACCTCCACCTTCATTGGTGTTCTCTTCCTTCCTTTTATCACTACACCTTTTCAAAGAGTACTACATCTGCTGTTTCCACTTTACTCAACCTCACATCAGTCTTGTATCTACCACAGTTAAAAACTGATAACTAAGTTTACCTTTCCTTTGAAATGCCCTCTTTCTCAGATCTGCCTTTCCAACAAGTTGCTGATCATTGGCTCCACCATCATCAATGCACCCCAAAAATGTTTTCCATCCTCACTTCTGTTTTTACTCTATATACTACTCTTCCTATTCAACATCATCTGACTGCATTTTCTCAACTGTTAAAATAAAATACATACTAAGTACTCCAGATACTAATTTCTAACACTGACAATTTGTTTCTATGGTCTGCCTAGGTTCATTTGGTTTCTTCCTAAGCCACTATCTCTTAGACTGGTAGTATTTGAAGATAAAGCTTTTGGGAAGTAATTAGCATTAGATTAATTCATAAGGCTGAGGTCCTTATGATGGGATTAGAGAAAGAGAAAGAGAAATAGATCTTTCTCTCTAGTAACTCTCTCCCCTGTCCACCACCCTACCACCTCCTCCTGACCTGCCCAAGCACAAACAAAAGGCCATGTAAGGATGTAACAAGAAAGCAATTACCTGCAAGCCAGGAAGAGAAGACTACACCAAAAACTGACCCTGCTAGACTTTGATCCTAGACCTTCCAGCCTCTAAAACTGTGAGAAGTAAATTTCTGTCACTTAAGCCATCAGTCTATAGTACGTTTTTATGGCAGCCTGAGCAGACTAAGACAGCCCCCCACCCTCAGCTACAAGCCCTGAAGTCCACAAACTAATGCTAAGAGTTTTGTAGTTTTAGTTCCTACATTAGGTCGGTGATCCATTTTGAGTTAATTTTTATATATAGTTCTAGAGGCAGATTTTAAATTTAGAAGAAGGGTGGAGGGTGGGAAGCTTGAAAAGGAATCAAGTCCCTTGAACTAAGGAAAGGGACCAGAAGCAAAACAAGAAAGTGAGAAATAATGCTCAAGGTACATAGTACAGACAGTGAAGCAAAGGAGCCAATAATAATTTCTAGCCCTTCATTAAAATGATCCATATAACCTAGTGTTTCTCAAAAGCACATTTTAGGGCATTTTAGGCAAGACAATTCAATTCTTTGTTGTGCAGAACACCAGGGCACTGTGGTTGAGTGGTTAGCATTCCTGGCCCTCATCTACTAAATGTGAATAGTGTCACTCTCCTCTTCGTTGCGACAAACAAAAAATGCTCCTATGCTTCTAAGATCCCTCTCTAAGGGGAGCAGTAGTGGCCCATTTTAAACCCTACTGAGAAAGTGCCAAAAGGTAGAGTCTAGGAAGACTATATCTACATTTCTAAATAGCACAGCACAAGAAGTTCATCACTGTAATAAAATTTAGGGTTCTTTTCAGCTTACTTTACATTTCTTAAAATGTTAATATGTAATCCCCTATCTAAATTCAGAAATTCACCAGTATATTGGTAGCAGAATCCCTTCTCTTCCTATAGAAGCCAAATGGTTCTGGGTACTTTATCTTTCTATTGTCTAACAGCAAAGCAAGGCCCTATAAGCTACACTCAGGCAATTAGATGCCCTGGCTGAAGCTACAGATCTGGAGTAAGTGACAAAAAGGAACAAGAACTCAACTTTAGAAGTCACTCAGAAAGCAGAGAAATCCAGTGTCCAGAGGTAGCAAAGCTATAACCAGCACTCAGTGACCAGCAACACTGACAATGGTACATTAACTGTTCCTTAACCTTCGCTATGGTTCTACATACCTGCCCTCCTATAATACCTGACTATCTCCTAAACCTAGTTCTCCAGATCCTATTTTAATTCTGAAAGCCAACCAATATCCTTCCAATAATTATCTATTTTACATGCACTACAATTGGTTTCTACTATTTGTATCCAAGATTCCTCCCCTACAAGTCTAAACACTAAAAACAAGAAAGCCATATAGCACCAATGAGTAAACAAAAATTCTCAACTTCAAATCTACTCTTCTATACTCCATGAAGCTGGGGCTTAGACTCTGCAAATTACCTATCTCCTTATTTATCAAGTGGTTTCTTATTAGGTTCAACCAACAGGGAGTACTAAAGGGAGACTGGAAAGCAGAAGAATAGGATCTTAATAATGTAAATCTAAAACAGTTATAAAAGTCAATGTATTAAGAAACTATAACAATTATAAGCATATATACACCAAACACAACCCAAAATATATGAAGCAAATACTGATAGAACTGAAAGGCGAAACACATTTTTACAATGATTGTTAGAGACTGCAATACCCCACTTGCAATAACATCTAGACAGAAGATTAAAACTATTAAGAACAAAAATACAACATACCAAAAATTATGGGATGTAACAAAAGCAGCACTCAGAGTGAAATTCATAGTATTAAATGCCTACAGTTTTAAAATATTTCAAATAAATGTAACTTTAAAACTTAAGGTACTATGCCTGGCTGGGGTGGCTCACTGGTTGAGCATCGACCCATGCACCAAGAGGTTGCCAGTTTGATTCCTAGTCAGGGCCCATGCCCAGACTGTGGGCCAAATCCCCAATGGGGAGAATGCAGGAGGTGGCCAATCGATATTCTCTCTCATCAATGTTTCTATCTCTCTCTCCCTCTCCCTTCCTCTCTCTCTAAAAATAAAAACAAAAACAAAAAACTTAAGGAACTAGAAAAAGAGAAAAAAAAAATCCCATAGCTAGCAGAAGGTAAAAAAACAATAAAGATTAGAGATAAACAAAATAGAAAAAACAATAAAGAAAGCTAACAAAACCAAAAGTTGGTTCTTTGAAAAGATTGACAAATTTTACCTTTAGCTAAATAAAAAATAAAAAAATAACAGAGATGATGCAAGTA